CTCTTACGCATTAAGCAAGGTGAAAAACGAAAACGATGCCATCCGAAATCGAATTCCCTATTTTGACAAGCGACGCATTTCTCAACCAAAAACCCAGTAAACAAACCAGCCATGAATAACAGAAGACTCTTGATAGCAGCAGTATATCATTTTGCACATCCAGAGGAAAAAGACAGTTAAAAACATCACAAGTTGACACAAAACTCTGTCAGCTTCAGCTGTCAAAGTAAACAACTTTGAAGATGCTGCATAATTTTTCCGCATGAACTCACCTGTCAAATTTTGACCAATCAGAGTATAGCAGAGTAAAGTATCAGCCTGTACTTTTAAAAAAACTGGCTGAATTTTCGCTTTCGAGGTCAGTTTGAAATCAAAATCCTAATAGTACGGGGCCATAGTGACATAAACACAACATATTTGATATGAATCCTTGGAAAAAATAAACTTGAGCCTTCAATCATTTGAAACTGGTAATTTGTCAGCGGATAACTTCAAAAAATACTCGACCTCAATGGGTCGACACTTGAGCTTGCGGTACGGTCAAGTGATACTGGTCAGCGGATGCCCTGTTTTGATAGCTGTCAATTGATCACAACATTGATGTGCAATTAGTTTTCTCTTGGGCTCCCAAACTAGCTAAAAGTGTGAGAGTAAACATTGGTTGTCCTGTGGTGCGGACGGACGGTCGCTCGCTCGGTGTACGGTCACGTGATTACCAAATTTTCTGGGATGGGTAGATTACCACATTTCCTTAGCTATGGGGCTTCGCGCGCGCGTGGAGCTCCGCTACAAACAAAATTAAGAAATTTTTCCGATATTAGTCGGTTTGCAAAACAAACCTGTGACGGGGGCTGCTACTGTGGGGTCGTTACCAAAATTGAATTTAAAACTAAAGTACATAATTATAAACATTATACTACTACAAGAGAAATTTCTGCAATTTGATTGGCTTAGAACATTGATATTTCAGCTTAATTTGAAATACCTACATGTGAAAATTACGAACCTCTTGCGGGTAGTAGTATAAACAAATAATAGCATGATTTGTACGTGATATTTGGCATAAATACCACGAGTGATCTTTCAAAATTGTCTCAAATTTCACTCGCCTAACGGCTCGTGAAATTACGTATAACAATTTTGAAATTTCACTCGTGGTATTTATGCCAAATATCACTACTAATCATGCTATTACCTATACTAATTGGTGATTACAAAGGTAGTCTAATAAACCTGAACTGACGCAAGTAAGGAACCAAAAATAACGACCTGGCCCTGGTTGATCAAACAACCGATCATTTTTCCAACGGATACCGTGTAGAACGAAATTTTTGCGGATTGGCGATTTTTTGTGTTTTGCGGGAACTAATTTTTGCGATTAGGACAGACTGATTTTTCTTGCTGGGGATTAATTTTTGCGATTTCAGAAAGTACCCAGTACCCAGCATTGATAATATTGTCGTGTTTATTGAGTACGTGCAATTGATGGTTTTCACATGACGTCACTAAAATTCAAACTACAAAACTATCGATCCTACTGAGATTTTACTTTTTTGGTGTATTAGAGGAGCTGAAAACTAATTTTCAAACAAATTTTCGCTTCTAAAGGGTTCTTGATTTTGTAATTGGGTACGCTTGAATTTCTAAGCTTTTGCGTGACGCAGCATTTACATGACGGCCGAGGGAGCTGTCATTTAGGTTAAAAAAGTAACTTTTTTCGAGGAATTTTGCTATCTAAACAGTTCAGGTATTAGAAAAAGTATTACTTTAATGTTTAAGAGTTCCTTTAGGAGTAAATTCACGCTTTTGTAGCAAATTTCGGTAAAAGATGTTTCTGTTGGTTTCCGTCCGCCATGTTGGAGCTCATCCCGATGAGCTCCAACATGGCGTCTCCATACACAGCTCTATAAATTTGGGTAAAACATTTCCTCGGATATCTCGTAAACGAATTATTCCTTCGACCCAAATCTTGGCGAGGGTCTTTGTATATTTACCTCCTTTCAGTTCCCAGATTCTGGACTTTATCTTTCGAATGGTTTTGATTTTTGTTTTGATCTAATTTGAATGGCGTGACACTGAAAACCAGTAATAGAAATACATATTTTCCTACAATACTAAGTGTGCGTCAGAATTTGTTTCTGAAAAAAAAGAGACCAGTTGTAATTGAACAGACTCGATTTCTTGGTACTGTATTCTTGTGTAATGAGTTTAAGTTAGAGAATACAGTATTTCCTCTGGAGTAAATTTTGCGGGAAAAATTTTTGCGGTAATTCAGTTTTTATTTGCGGGAACTTATTTTTGCAAAGTACTCGGACAGTCATGAAATCCTATCAATAAAATTAAGCCGTGAGTGAAATAGTGAAAATGACAAGAAGATACAGGGGAAAAAATAATAACAGATCAGGCCACTGGGTTTAAAATTGTTTAGCCTGACATTTTGTGAAAGCGAACGGGAATGACATATTTATTTGTTCTGGAGCGATGAATTTTTTTTTAAAAGCACGTTTCATAGCAAAAATTTGCCAAAACTTTAACTGAGAGCCATTGCCAGATTCTATGGTATTTTTTCTCTTTCCTTTTTTCTAGTTCTGTTTGGTCACATGAACCGTGATGTTAGCTTTTTAAGTTACGTTAACCATGTTTAGGCTATTATGGACAGCTTATATTATCTCAGTCGTAACAGATGAAACCTTTATTACACTTGGGTGCAAATGTTGTTACGGATGGACCTTTATTACACTTGGGTCCAGTTATTACACTTGTGCCTTCCACAAGTTCCACTGACAAGAAATCCGGATCCCTGAAGTGAATTTGGCCTGGCATTTTCAGGGGAGTCAAATTTTCCCATATTTCCTCCCCGGGGGTCTGGGTGGGCTATGGAGGAGTGAAGACGTTGGAAAATCGCTCCCGCAAATTTAATCTTTTAATCTTCTCCCGCTTGCCTCGATACGTTTATATGGATGACATTTCAAGTAGATTTAAGCGTAAGGAGAGGGGAAGCAGCAGTTCGGACAGTGAGACCTCACCGCAAGGAAAAAGAGTTTGTAGCCAAGAACCGAACGAAACGGACGAGATACTCTTCGCCTTGGATATGTCGAAGGACATAGGAGCGAAGCTACAACAAGTTCTAGACAAGCTCGGCGAGATGGACAAAAAAATTGAAAGTGTTATAGCGAACGTGGCTAGTCTAGAAAAGAAGATGACCAACATTCAATCAGAAGTGTCGTCACTCAAGGCAAGAGCCGACTCGGCAGAAACCAAATTAAAAGAAATGGATACAGGTTTACAATTTGCAAATGCCGAAGTTGAGGATCTCAAAACACAAAGCAAGAAAGAGGTCTTGATATCATAGGGGCTCGTAGTATTGAGTTTCAGAGAATTCATCGCCTCCGAAGGAAAAAAGAAGGCCCCTCGCGCCCCATCATCGCGCGTTTCCTTAGATATCCTGATCGGGAACGGGTCTATAAAGCTGCTTTGGAAGCACAGGATGAGACTGATGTTAAAGTGTATGCAGATCTACCTAGGGGGATACAAGAAAATCGGAAGAAGCAGTGGCCACGGTTAAAGCGTGCAAGAGAGAAGGGTAAGACTGCCTACTTTAGTAGAAAAGAGCGGGACAAATTATTTATTGAGGGACGTTTAGTTGCTTTATAATGTTTTTTTTTTCTTTTTCGGTGGGTCATAATTTAATATTAAACTTTATTTAGTTTCATACCGCGGGAGCACTTTTTGCACATGCAGTTAGTGGTACCAAATCCCATAGGCTGCGTGTTAGATAATATTATCGGCAGCCATTATATCCTATTGTTTGTGTTAAATGTTTTGTGTTTTTTGACAGTACGTTGTGCTATTATTCCATTCGTTATTAATTTATGTATTTCTTGTGTGCCAGTTGTCATCTCAAGATTAGGCAATAACGTTAACGTATTGCCTAATCTCAAGATTAGGCAATGACGTTATTATCCTTGAATGTTCGAGGGATTCGCTCCGCTACGAAGAGAAAAGCCATTTTTATGTGGTTAAAAGAACAGAAATCGAATATTATTTTTTTACAAGAAACCTACAGTACAGCAGAAGTTGAAGATATCTGGAGAACACAATGGCAGGGTAAGCTTTTCTTTTCACATGGTACTTGTCATAGTTGTGGGGTAATGGTTCTGGTTAGAGGTGATTTAGATTTCAATTTGATTTCGATTAGGACGGACGATGAAGGTCGCTATATTGTGTTAGAAGCTGAAGTGCAAGGAGCAAATTTCTTATTGGTAAACGTTTATGTTCCTAACAAAGTTCAGGAACAGTGCCGTTTAATTGAAAATCTGAATTCGACAATCGATGATGTTATTAAAGATAATGAACCTAAGCTTGTTGTGGGTGGGGACTTTAATGTTACGCGTTTGAGTCAGATCTTGACTGCTCGGGTGGAAATCCAGCTCAAAAGGCTTCAGTTAAAAGTATTCAGGATTTGTGTCTTGATTTTGATCTGGTCGACATCTGGAGAATTTGGAATCCTACCACTCGACGTTTTACGTGGAGGCAAAGAAACCCATTTGTTTAAAGAAGGCTAGACTTCTGGCTAATAAGTGATGTCTGTCAAGAAGACATTGAAGGAACCGATATTATTCCGTCAATAAATTCTGATCATTCTGCGATCTTTCTTCACTGCAACAATATAGACCAGCAAAAACATGGCCCTTCATTCTGAAAATTTAACGCTAGTCTACTTAATGATGAAAATTTTGTACTTTTAATCAACCAAAGTGTTCCGCTTTGGCTAGATGAGTTTAAAGAGGTAATCGACAAAAGAGTATTATGGGATTTGATTAAGTACAGGATAAGACAGGTAACGATAAATTATAGCAAGGAAAACGCTCGACAAAGAAGGCAAAAGATATCTGATATTGAAAACTCTCGCAAAGTCTTGGAGGAAAAGTGCGGTAATAACCCTACTACCGAGAATATTGAACAACTTGAAATTTTGAAATTGGAACATGAAAATATTTATGAGGAANAGTCTACTTAATGATGAAAATTTTGTACTTTTAATCAACCAAAGTGTTCCGCTTTGGCTAGATGAGTTTAAAGAGGTAATCGACAAAAGAGTATTATGGGATTTGATTAAGTACAGGATAAGACAGGTAACGATAAATTATAGCAAGGAAAACGCTCGACAAAGAAGGCAAAAGATATCTGATATTGAAAACTCTCGCAAAGTCTTGGAGGAAAAGTGCGGTAATAACCCTACTACCGAGAATATTGAACAACTTGAAATTTTGAAATTGGAACATGAAAATATTTATGAGGAATTTTCAAAGGGAGCAATCATTCGCTCGAAGGCAACTTGGTATGAAAAGGGAGAGAAAAGTAACAAATATTTCCTCAATCTAGAATCTCATCAGAAGGCTAAAAGTTCAGTTCGTAAGGTTTTTAGCGAAGAAGAATTGTTAGTCACTGACCCTAAAAAGATTTTTGGGGGGTATCGAAGGCTTTTATTCTGGTCTGTACAAGAAGGACGATCTAGAACCTTTTGAAAATCTGATGAATACTTTTTTGGAAAATCCGCTCATGCCTCGTCTCTCTGTTGACGATTCTCAAGTGTGTGAAGGGAAGTTAACAATCAAGGAAGAATGTGTGAAGAGCCTCAATTCTTTTGAACCCAATAAATCTCCAGGCAACGACGGGTTAACAGTTGAATTTTACAAATTTTTTGGAACATAGTTGGGGAATTGCTAGTAGCCAGCCTCAACTACTCACTAACTAAACTTATGACGTCGGAGAATTATCAAACTCACAAAAGAAAGAAAAGATAAGGATAAAAGACACATATCTAACTGGAGACCAATATCTCTGATCAATGTCGATGTTAAAATAGGATCGAAGGCGATCGCTAAAATTCTGTAAGCAGAGAATTTCTTTTTCGTACCCCATCTGCTGCTCGTTTTGGTTCTTCTTTTATCCAATGGATTCACACTTTTTATAATAATATTTCTAGCTGTGTTTCAAACAATGGTTTCGCTACCGCACATTTTGACATTCAGCGTGGCGTTAGGCAGGAGGATCCTCTTTCTCCGTACCTGTTTATTATCGTGTTAGAAACTTTGGCTTCAACGATAAGGTCAGACAATGGTATTCGAGGTATCATGGTGGATGGTAAGGAGATCAAATTAGGGCTATTTGCTGATGATTTAACAGGGTTTTTGAAGAACGACAAATCTCTAATAAAGTTCCTCGAACTTGTGTTGCTGTTTGGTAAATGCTCTGGTCTCGTTACAAACCGTGATAAGTCGGAAATATTGTTACTTGGAAACTCTTTCCCCGCGCCCCCAACCTTAATCATACTCCTTTTAAAGACCTAAAGATAAAGATTTCCGTAAAGATTTTAGGGGTATATTTCACGTATGATCGCCGTCTCAGACGCAAACTTAATTTCGATGAAATTACAAAAACCATTAAGGATAAGTTAAGAATTTGGAAATGGAGGGATCTTACTATCATTGGTAGAATTCAACTGGTCAAAACATTTATTATCCCCACTTTCTTATACCGTGCTAGCCTAATTTGTATGGATAAGGAATTTGTAAATGAAGGAAACAAAGTTATATTTGACTTTATCTGGAAAGGTAAAGACAAAGTGAGACGTCGTGTGCTCGTTGGGGACATTGAAGATGGAGGATTGAAAGCTTCACACTTGGATTCTATTATTAAAACTCAAAGAATATTATGCTGTAAAAAGCTCGCGAGTGAAGACCTTAGTAGCTGGAAAATTATTCTTTTTCATTACCTAAAACCAGTAGGTGGCGAATTTATCCGTGGCTGCAACTTCGATGTAAAAAAGCTGCCTATCAAGCTTCCGGGTTTTTATGAGGAATGTTTAAAGGATTTTTCGCGGTACTCCGCTGCAAACAAGGTTAGTCTAGACAATATTAATGCAGTGGATATTTCAAAGATCATTCTGTGGTGTTGGTAAAACCTTTTTCAACAAGAGATTAGTAGATAAAGGAATTGTAAGAATAGGGAATCTTATTGCTGAAAACAATGAAATCGTAACGAGCAAGCTAAGGGAGTTAAATTTATCACCACTGGACGCATTTCAACTTTTTTCAGTGATCGACGCACTCCCGAAGGACTGGCGTCACGCGTTGAAGAGTTATGGATATGATCGCCTTCTTTCTTTCGATCTTCACGAGCAGACTCACTTGTTTTTATCTGGTAAAGAAGTTTTATTAAGTAATGCTGACTCAAAAGGCATCTATAAAGAAATTACAGACAGAGAAATTGTTTAACCAACTGCGCAAAAGAAATATGTTGAATTTTTTGAAAATGATGATTTAAACCGGAAAGAAATTTACAGCTTACCCTACCAGGTTGCCCTTGACACTAAGTCACGTGAATTTCAATATAAATTGTTACATAGATATCTGGTCACCAATGATTTTTTAAACAAAATTGGTATTTCTTCATCACCACGATGTTCTCTGTGTGATGGGGCAGATGAATCCCTTGAACACCTCTTTGTCTCTTGCCTTTTGGGCAGAAGTTATTAAATGGTGTAGCAATCGGGGGACGGTTATTAACCATCTCTCTGCTAAAGATATATTATTTGGGATAAAGGTACATAAAGACGATTTCTTTATTAATCATATTTTGCTAGTTGGCAAGCAGTATATATATAATTGCAGATGCACGAAAACAAACCCTTGTTTACGGGTTTCCTTGGCAAGACTCAATAACGTTTATCAATTATAAACTATCATTGCCAAATCGAAGAATAAAATGGCTTTTCATTTATCGAAATGGCAAGCACTCTTGACAGGTGGTACACAATTGCCGACAAATACTTGTTAAGGTTTAGTAGTATTGATACTGTCGTTGTGTGTCGTGTGTGCTGTGCGTGTGTGCTGTGCGTGCGTGTGTGAGTTATTTGTGTATTATTTTTTTTAAAACTTGTAAGGTCGGTAATGTATGTAAAAATTAATGTTATTATTGTGAGGCAAGAAATTGAAATAAACAGTGATTAAATTACGAAAAAAAATATTTCCTCCCTTACCTGAGACCAAGATATGTGTCATTTATACCAGTCTGTAAATAAAGCGAAGAAATTGAGAAAATTGAGGCTAACGTTGTTGAGATCAAAGGTGAAAAAAAAAACACATTTTTCACACTTTTCGTTTGTTAGTCAGGTCGCTTAGCGTCAGTATCGTTACTTGCCGGATACAAGCACCAATTTTTGTATGCACTCTTTTTTCGACGTAAGAATTAAATTTAGTCGTGGATCCATCGAAAATATTTCCTCTATCTCATCAAAAAGAGCGTGCAAAAATTAGGTTAATTTGCATAAATTCAAAATGGCGGCGCTAAGTACTAAAATTTTAAACAACTCCAAATTCGTCGCACTTGTAATGCAACTATAACCCGTGTTTGTTAAAGTAATGAAAGATGATGATAGGACTGAGTGCTGCAGTCGAATTCGCTCTTCAGTCATACGAGTTTAAAACATGATTACGATTACAGACCGGCATGGACAACGCGAAGATCTTAGTTCACCAATCAATCAAAGCCATAACAAAATGTTTCATAACTTTAACCTTTCCAAACATTAGAATATAACTTTTCGAGAGTTCTTTTGCTAGACGTTTAAGAGCGCGTGGGCGAGATGGCGCGTACTGTTTGATTACATACGCATTACGCTTTCTGATCTATTAAACTGTTCATTAAGCTGAAATCGGCACCTCCCTAGGCCAATCAAACTAGAGAATTTGAATCAATTGATTTTTTGTTCAATAAATCTTAATTATCCTTTTTTTACTCTGACTTAACACGCTCTCGAAATTAAATGATCGTCATAGGTTGTTTTAATAAGGCATTCCAGTTAAACAGAATATTTTCCTGGCAATTGCGGGGAGTATCCGAAAGCTTTCGAAAACTAGTTACTTGGGCAACTAAAGAAGAACGTTCTTAGTACCTCCTTTTCCCTCTTAGATCAGTCACTAAAACTACTCCTGATTTGAAAAATATGACTGACAGTTACTGTAAATCGGTATGTACTTTAAACATCTAAAGTTTCATCTCCTTTTATCTCACTTGTCTGCGAGCGCTGCAATACGAATTGCAATTACAATTGCAAAGCGGGGAACACTTCAAGGTCGCTTTGCCACATTTGCAGTTAGAACAGTCTCCCTTGCATTTACACTTGATTAAATCTTGACAGGCTTTAGAAAGCTCTGGAACAGTGAGCCAAAGTGGGCTCCACACATTGTCTACTTGTCCCCAGCCATAGTCGCTTGGGAAGGAATCATCTGCTGTACTTGGGTACTTGTAACCCAGATAGAAGCTTGGTAAACAGCCCCCTTCGTGTGTTGTAGGAGGGCATTCTGCGTCGGTGGCATACTTTCCATCGTGACGTTCTTTAGACAGAACAATTCCCTCCTTGTCTGGTTGATTGAAAGTGAAGCGCTCGTTTTGTCGTAGACGAGGACGATCAGCCGCTCGATCTTACGAAAGTTCTCACAGTTGGAATCAAGGGGCTCAAAAGGAAGTGAAGCTAGGTAGACAAAAGTGTCTGTAACCTCTTCAAACGCCATCCAAGCTTACCAGAACGACTTCTTCCCTTTTCCCCAAAAAGCAGAGGTTGTGTCGCATCCAGAAATCGTGTGATGCATTGGTAGTGCTTGTGACCTTTTTGTGCCAAGGCTGGTGGACAGAGCATTGATGCTGTAAAGTCTGTAGTTCTTTCCAACTCCAAAGGCGACCCAAATATCAGCCTAGAGCTGTGACAGTAACAGCTTGTGAAAGACACCAATAAGGACAACAACAACATCAGTGTCCACAGTGCGAACTTGCACAGTCGTCAATCCCTGCTGAAGTGCGTGTAGTACATGAACCACAATTCTTGTGTCGGCCTCTTCATGATTGCAGTTTGGCATGGGACTGGATGAGCATACCATTAGCAATGACTCTTTCGAAGTGATGTAAACGGCCTTTCCCTCGAGGAAGACAAAGTTAGCCACTTTATAGGTTAGAAAGTCAAACAGCTCTTTCTTTTTTGATGAATCATGCAGAAAGTCTGACCAGTTTCGTGGTAACTTGGTTTCTCCGGATACCTTTCTGCGGACTCCCTTTCCTCTCTTCTGACGAGTCGACTCCTTTAAACTTTCTCGTCTGTATGTGTCCCATACAACGTCCAACCTTTCTGTTCCTTGTAGGTGACTATGAAGATGAGGGATGAAAGCCTTCTCTGCGTATTCTTTGAATGTTGTAACTCCAGCGATGGACAAGCAGTGTACGATGACAGCACCATCCAATACTTTACAGCTGAGTGTTTCAGGTGGCGTAGATTCATGTAGTGGCTCAAGGCATTTCATCAGTTCAGACTTTGTGCCCGGCAAATAAAGTTTGCCGAATTCTGACAGGGAGGAAAGGATTGGACTTCATGAGAAAAGAATTCTTCCAAATACCCTTCACGGCTCTGCATTGAGATATACAACTGACCAAAAAGAGACACATTATTTTCACGAGCTTTAATNGAAAGACACCAATAAGGACAACAACAACATCAGTGTCCACAGTGCGAACTTGCACAGTCGTCAATCCCTGCTGAAGTGCGTGTAGTACATGAACCACAATTCTTGTGTCGGCCTCTTCATGATTGCAGTTTGGCATGGGACTGGATGAGCATACCATTAGCAATGACTCTTTCGAAGTGATGTAAACGGCCTTTCCCTCGAGGAAGACAAAGTTAGCCACTTTATAGGTTAGAAAGTCAAACAGCTCTTTCTTTTTTGATGAATCATGCAGAAAGTCTGACCAGTTTCGTGGTAACTTGGTTTCTCCGGATACCTTTCTGCGGACTCCCTTTCCTCTCTTCTGACGAGTCGACTCCTTTAAACTTTCTCGTCTGTATGTGTCCCATACAACGTCCAACCTTTCTGTTCCTTGTAGGTGACTATGAAGATGAGGGATGAAAGCCTTCTCTGCGTATTCTTTGAATGTTGTAACTCCAGCGATGGACAAGCAGTGTACGATGACAGCACCATCCAATACTTTACAGCTGAGTGTTTCAGGTGGCGTAGATTCATGTAGTGGCTCAAGGCATTTCATCAGTTCAGACTTTGTGCCCGGCAAATAAAGTTTGCCGAATTCTGACAGGGAGGAAAGGATTGGACTTCATGAGAAAAGAATTCTTCCAAATACCCTTCACGGCTCTGCATTGAGATATACAACTGACCAAAAAGAGACACATTATTTTCACGAGCTTTAATCTTCCTTCCTTTCCTCGACTTAATCTTTGGACTGCGTTTCCTAAATAGTGCTGGCTTGTTTAATTTAATGGGTTCATGAATAGATCGTTTTCGTTCTTCCAGAGCTTCTTTGACAAAGTTACTGTATTGGCCCTTCCCTGTGTCTTCAAGGGTGTACAATGCTGCTATGACTGATTCATCAGCGCAGTCTCGACTGTCTAGGGACACCAGATCTGAAAAATCGGCCCAGAAAGGGTTCCCCATCTTCCTTATGATGTTAGAGAGAGACTAGTGACCTGCAATCCAATCTTCAAGCTGTAAAACCCTTTCGTAGGAAATACAGATTCCCAGCTGGTGCAACTGATTGATAAGATGCTTACTTCTGGTCAGGCCATGTATGTTCAAGCCAATGTAAACAGGGAGTAGTGGCTTGCGCTCTAACGAATGTCTTGGTTTTGCCTCTGGATCAGCAGTTGATCGTTTCTTAGCGTTAAAGACCATGGCCTGGCCAATAGTGAGGCATGCTTGGGACTCTTGTTTCTCTTGGTTTTTCAAGTTGGATCCATTGAGAATTAAGGACATGAGTGTCTTGAGACTTGATGGCAGTGACGTGTCTTGACATTTTTCCGGAAAAGATCAGTTGAAGAGAATGCCTTTATGATTAAAAATGTCTTTCCTTATTATAGAAGCAGCCCTGGCCAAAATTAGTGCGTCTTCTGAGAAGTCTCTTTTCTTTAAGGCGTCCTGAATCATGTTACGCAGTCCTTCTTTGAAAACTAAGAAAGTGTTCCTGCCGTCGAACTGTTCTTGAGCTTCCTTGAAGTATTCCAACAAGCGCTCCTTTAGCCTGGTCTTGTTTACTGATTTCGCATTACCTATATCCTCCAGGCGACTTTCATACAAAGAGTGCAGCTCCGACAATTTAAACAGGAGTTTTCAAGAATTGACTTCTTTTTTGACATAACTTGCAAGCTCGACAAACACGCGGGAGTTACACACGTTTTCATTAATATTTTGCTTATCCTTGTTTGATTTTCTGACGTGACTGCGATATCTATTTTTCAATTCAATCAAGCATTTCAGATGATACTTTGCTTCGATTCCAATAAGATTTCCTCCAATTATTCTCACAAGTAGTCGGGAATCATTAAGCTCTGTTATTATTGTTCTTATATTTGCGTCTGTCTCAAATGTAGACACCTGGCGGAGATCTCCATCATCTTCTCGAGCTCCCTTCTCACACAAAAAACACACTTAACTGTTCAACCGTTGTCGCTTACCGCGAGAGCTTGTTTCTGTCCAATCACTGCTGCCTTTTGTTTTCAGTTTTTCTCTTTCAAGTTTGCAGCTGCTAAGTTTCGCATAGCAAGACTTATGCCACGACGCACGGTGAAATTCCCAGTTTTCTGCAGTCTCATCACATCCAAATTTGACTATCACTGGTAAAGAATCAATATCTTGAAACTGCTTTACGTGATTAAGAAAATTCGTATATGCTCCTTTTTTATTTCCTTTCTTTAGCGGGTTTTCCAAAGGACATTTTAAAGCTTCTGAGGTTTTCCTCTGGCATATAACACATAGGTACAAGTCTAGCTCCATGTTTTGCGGTCACAAGCTAAAACAAATAAGGAATTTCTATAACAATGTATATATGCTACAATGTTGGCTGTTAATTAAAACAGAATTTAAGCTAAAAGTAAAACGGGCAACAACAAAAAAAACGGGCAACTTGTTTTGAAACATTGCTACAAAACGAGTTGCATAGAGGTGTTTCGCGTTTTACCACCGACGTTTGAACCTGTCTTGTAACAAATAAGGTTGCAAGGTTTTTTTCGTCGGTGGTAAAACTTGCAACATTGCTATTCAACTCGTTTAGCACCAATTTTACAAAACAAGTTGCACTTTTTTGTTGCCCGTTTCACCGTACTTTTAAGGAAAATTTCACTATAATTCATGATAGCTTGGACCTCTATAGGTTTCTAAATATAACAACAATGTCTTTTAACTGCAAAGCTACAAGTAACATTGTATACATACCAGGTTAACAAGCACTGCATTTGGTCCCAACATAAAAGCACCACAACAACATGGCGTCTTAAGCAGCGCCCGAGAGTTTGAACATGCTTTTGTTTTGAGAGAAATTATTCAAATTACACGCAAAAATCCACGTGGATCCACGGATAAAAATGTTTAATAGTAATTAAGGAAACAATCTGGTGATTTTGATGCTTGTATCCGCTGTGTAACGTTTCCGCGAAAATTTGGAGTTAAGCGACCTGACTAT